TTAAACTGGGGGTTTCCTGAAAGTGCAGCCAAGTCTCCTATTTTTGTCACTCCACTCAGTCATCAAGAAAAACATCATGCCTAATTAACGTACCTGAGAGGAAAATGATACCACATGGCTAATCTTTACAGGAGCCATGGTGTGCTTAGCAGCTGTCCCAAGTCGGAGACGAAATTACTTTCTCCCAAGATTTCTTCTGTCACCACTTTTGGCACTGCCTATGTTTTGGTCCCATCAGCTTCCAGAAAAGAACAAATCCTCATGCTACTACTGAAGAAGAAAACAAAAGAAAAACAAAATTGGCCATGTCTGGATCTCTGGTAATTTTTGCAGCAGTCAGTCAGACTGTTTCTAGTTCCCATGATGGACTTATGGGGGCAGTGGGTGGGGAACAGATCTGGACCAGGGGGTGAGATTCCAACAAACGTGAAATGACTGGCATGCAAGCACCGGGAAACAGAGCGGCAAGTACAAAATATGTTAGCAAGGTAATATTTGGTCTATATGTAGGTGAGCTCCCCAGGGCATGAATTATGCCTTAAATCATTTACCTTTATACCCCTAGAACCTAGCACATAGCAAAAATACAACAAATGTTCAATTATATATCAGGTCTATCAGTTTTTGTCTTCCCTTTAAAATCAATCTTCTTAAATTTGTTTTTCGTTGTTACTCCCTTATTAGGAATATTTAATAGCTTGCCAATGTATTCAAATCTCTTTTTACATGGTATGTACTTAATAAATATGAATGCAGCTTAGCTCCTCAAAGCATCTATAATGGAGAGCTCTACATTTTCTACTTCATCTGCTCCTATTCCTTTCATCAGAGGATGTGTTTTACCTCTCATTGTTTTATTTAATAATGAAAGTTCATTATGGATATTTGTACTTTGTTGTTTGCCAAAATTTTATGGAACATTTTAAATATATGCAAAAACACATGTTAATATAGTGGACTCTTACCCATCCATCACTTAGCTTCAACAATTCCTTGGCTAGAGGTATTTTAGAGTTGTCTGAATGCCTTTAGGTGGGATCTCTCTCCAAATATTTATACCCTGCCCTTTTTATCCATGTTTGTTACCCATCTGGCTCCTGAGAATGTGTCCATGACCCCTGATAAATTCTTGGCCATAATGTTTGGTCTTCTTATTTCCTTCCCCGGTCCCTCACCCCAATTCTCCCCCTCACCCCCATTTCGAGGACATCCTTCATGCCATTGCCTTTGTTTGGAATGCTCTTTCCCTTTTGTACTTGTCAAATCGAATGCATCTTTGATGCTCAAATATCACCTCCACCTCAACCATCTCAAGCAATAGTTCCATCCTCTTGATTCTGTGTTGTAATTATCTGGGTATATATCTTATGTCCCTTGATCAACTGTAAACTCTTGGAGGACAGACTTCATGTCTAATTCATTTCTGTATCCTCAGTGTAAGAGGGAGAAACAGATTAGCAAATGTCTGCTGAATGAATGACCATAAAAACTGAGCTCCAATGAGCCAGCAGTCATGGAGTGCTCACAGTGGGGCAGACTGCTTTGACAGTGGTAACAATTAGTGAAGGTCATCCAAAGGTCAAGCACTCCTCACAGGTCACATTCAGTATGGTGCCATAGCTTTAAAGAGAGAAAAAGGTAAGATGAGTCCCGAGTCACCTCTCTAGGCCTTCAGATTAATTAAGAGTTGATTATTCCCACTAAAGGAACTCACTGAACTTCAACAATTTTTCCTATTCTCTGCATACAGGGATACATTGGATATATAAAAATAAATGATATGGTCTCTGTTTTGGAGGAATTCCCAGTATACATTTGTGATTTGATGTGAAAACTCTACCATCTCTCATCATTAACATACAGAGGACCGACTTAGCCAGGCCCAAAATACACCCTAGGCTTGGGGACCCTGAAGCTGTCAATCTTGGATATTTTATTTAGTTAATATTTTGGGGGTGTCTAGTAGGTACCAGGCACTGTACTGGTACTGGATACACAGCGATGAGTAAGATATATACAATCTTTTTCATGAAGATCATGGTTTATCAAATTGCTTGCAGCTCTCCAAGATTAAGTGCTCTCTAACCTCCTTGCACTTGTATATACTGTTGTTCTTTGTTTTTTTTTTGCAATGGCATGCATGTTTACCCTGTTTTTCTCCCCACTAAGTAGTGAGTACTTTGAGGATGTGGATTTTTGTCATGTTCATCATCTCTCACACCTCAGGGAGGTGCTGAAACACAGTAGGCATAAAGAGCCACTGAAAAGAATACTTTAGGGGCACCTGGGTGGCTCAGTGGGTTAAGCCTCTGCCTTCGGCTCAAGTCATGATCTCAGGGTCCTGGGATCCGAGCCCTGCATCGGGCTCTCTGCTCGGCAGGGAGCCTGCTTCCTCCTCTCTCTGCCTGCCTCTCTGCCTACTTGTGATCTGTCTCTGCCAAAGAAATAAATAAAATCTTTAAAAAAAAATTGTAGAAAAGAATACTTTATTAAGTCAACATAATTCCATTCAGAATTTCAGCAGAAGTTGCTGGCAAACATGATAAACTCATTAACCAATAAAGGGCCACAAATTCCTACAACAATTCTAAAAAGACAGATCAAGCAGATTACAGAAACAGACTTATATAAATGGGAATTTGCATCCTGTTGACTATAACATAGAACAGAATCATGAGTCTGTCAAAAAAAGATGAAGTAACAAGTGGTGTTCAAAAACTTGGTCCACTTGTGAAGAAAAATAAAAGTAGATCCCTACCTCATAACATATTTAAAAAATTATACTCAAGTGATCAAAGATGGAAACATGAAAAATACCTTAAGGTAACAAAAACAGGGTTAAAATAGAAATGACTGACTGGAAGAAGATATCTGCAACACATAAAAACTTGAATAGTATTCAGAATATATATTTTTAAATATTACAAATCAGTAAGAAAAGGGAAAACAATCCAATAAAAAACTGGAAAGAAGACAGAAATACAATTCACATAAGATTTGAATGACCAAGAATCCATATTTTAAAAAAGTCCTCATACTTTCTGGTAATAAGGAAATTGCAAGTACTTCTCTTCTAAGACCAGAAAAAATTAAAAAGTCTAAAAATGTAAAGGATTGGCAATAACATGGGGAAACTGGCCCTCTCATAAACACTTCCAGCCCATCTTAATTCCAACTAGCTACATTCCAAGAATAGCCACATATGTGTGGCCTGTAGTTAACTTATTTGAACAGTGCAGTTCTAGAGGGATTCACATGTGTACAGACACATACAATATTTCTAATAGGAAAAACCATAAAGTTTTAATGTCCATTAATTGAAGAATGGATAAATAGAATGGTAAAATACTATATACATTATATAATAGAATACTACCTAACAGCTAAAAGAAAGGAATTAGATGTAAATATACAAAAACATGGACAGTTCTCAAAAAAAATAGTGAAAGATTAAGTTACAGAATGATACAGAAAATAGCACTAATTTTCATCAAAAACCAAAATGAAATAATACAATTACATTGTGAATACACAGAATTTTTCTCAATGGACTGGGAGAATACCCAGCTGTGATAATAGTGTCTGAGAAAGATGAAAGAGTAATGGGTCTGAGAGTAGAAGACTCAAGTAAGTTCAACCTTTATCCGTATTATTTTATCTTTTTTAAAAATGAGGATGCAAAGAGATCATGATGTTAGTAGTCAACTTGGGGTGATTGGGTTATAAGGCATTTATTATATTCTCTGTATTGTTTCACATAATAAAAGTAATTCCCCTTTTAAGTAAATAAGATGCCTGTAGATGGTGTAAATATTACCCTGTAACTTCCTGTTGGTCCTAAAATAAAGTTGACAGGCACTGCATTGTGAGTCCACTGGTCATCCTAGCACTATTCTCCCGATAGATCCAGCTGGGCCGCCCACGGGGCAAATGTGCAGGGGCCATAGGTTTGTATGGTGTTGGGTCCGGATGTACCGATAAGAAGGGGGTGGAAATGAGTTAGGAAGCTTTAAGATGGGGTGCAGCACAGAGAGAATAAGGTGTACGGGCGGGGGTAAAGATAGGGGCTGCGCACGCACGATGTGTGGTGGGAAAGAGTACAGAGATTTGTGAAGCGACCCCAAGGCGTGAGAGCGCAAACAGCAGATTGGGAGCGGTGGAGATGCCGCAAGGCTCTTCTCTCAGGTTCAGGAGGCTAAGCCGCACAGCCGCTTCCCCCGCACCTCGGAACGCGCTGTTCTGTACTTGCCTTGACGGCCACACATTCTCGGCAACTCCCCTCCCCATCAACAACCCCCGCAAAGCCCCTCACCCGGGACAATGGACCTCGAAGAGCCACCGCTGCCTCAGATCTTGGACCACAAACCCATTCTCCCGCCAATCCGGCCCTCTGACCTCCGCCTTCTGACCTGGAGCACGACTCTTACGCCACCTCAAGTCCCGGAATGTGTTCTGTCGCCTCAGGAAGCCGCTGTTTCTGAAAGAGAACTCCCATCGAAGCAAGAAGACATTCGTGCGTAGCTATGTATATTTTATGTCTATTTGTAAATGAATATCTTACGCAAATTTTCACTCACTACAAATCTGTCCAGAGCGCGGAAGTTAAACTTCCGGGTCAGATTCAATACGTTCTGGGATATGTAGTCCTTTGCCTCCACGCTTCACGCCTTGGAGCTCAGAGTGAGGGAGCGTCGCGAAAGTTGACGGTTTAGAGACTCTTCTCTTTCGCTGTCCAAAGGGGAGAATTGGTGAAATATTTGCACTATAAATAATACAGGCCCAATTTCTCATTTCTCAAGAACCCTCCTCCACCGAAACTTGGAAGTGCCTGGAAACCGCCCCTCCCTGACCTTTAAAGAGTAGCAGGTAGATGGTCTCTTAGTCCCTCTCAGAGCTCCGCCTGTCTTGATGCCCCGCCCCCCTGCTGGAGCTTGAGCCGCCTATTGGCTAGGATCACTTGAGCGGCGGAAGCAGCTGGCTCGCACGGGGACGGGGGAGGGGGAGAGTTGTGAAGATGGCGGCAGTGGTGGAGGTGGAGGTTGGAGGAGGTGCTGCCGGGGAACGGGAGCTAGATGAGGTAAGAAGAGTTCAGAGTCAAGGAGGGAAGAGGCTTACCCTGAAACTGAAGGAAGGGGAGGAGAGGTATCGGGAGTAGGGTCCTAGGGGAGGCGGGACCCTGAGAGGGAAGGAGCCAAATGGGGGGCGGGTGCGCGGAGAGGGAAATCAGAGATACCCTGGACTTGGAGAGTCGGAGGCGGACACGGGGGAAGAAGACTTGCAGTAACCTCGAGGGTGGAGATGGAAGATAGGGAAAGAAGCCAGAGAGGATGGGGGCATTAAGATTTGAGGTATTACTTGGGGGTCCTAGGGTAGGACTGAAGGGCTGAGAGGTAGCTTGAGTCGGAGGGGCGTGGACTTCTGTAAGGGAAGGCCGGGCTTTAGCTGTGGGAGAGTCGCGTCTAGGTTTGGCGTGGGGGTTGGGGACGCGGACCGGGGAAGAGTGCTAATCTGCTAGTATTATAGCATTATTTTTTATATAAGAACTATTTTATTTTTCCATACATTCTAGGACTTTGTACCTAGTGTATTTAATAAAGTTTTGGGCACTGAATGGATGAACGAATGATCACATACCGGAATTCATCCATTCACTCATTTAACATATCTTTGTGCTGAGTTCTGGGCTAAGTGCTAGGGACGTAGGGGCCTTCCCATTGACGAGGCCACAGCCTAGTGATGGGAGACACACAGGGAAGACTAGTCACTGCATCAGAGGTTTAATGATGGCGCTGCAAAGAGGGGACCAATTTAGTTTGGGCTAGGGAAGGGTTCCTAGAGGAACCGAGTCTTATGGGGTAAGTGAATTCTCTATTTCTGGCTCCTTCTAAACGTATGAGTTCTTTGAGGATGAGCTCCTTAAGGATGTATGTCCCCTTTACCTGTTTAAGAGGCATTTAACAACGGATGTATTTAATTACCAGTGGTCCTTGAGACACTAGGAGGAAAGACACATTGAGTTTGGAAGGAATGAAGGGACAGCTCTGAGAAGTGAAGAGAAGGTGAGAAAGTAGAGGGAGATGATTTTGAGGCCAAAGGTATATTCAGAACAAGGGGTGCTTATGGCCTTGCACAGGACACAATATAGACAGCACAGAGGGATGGGAGGAAGGAGATTGATTGTCAGGAATGGAACCCAGGGGATCTCTGAGGGATCAGAATCTTAGAGGCTTTGGGGTGGGTGATTGGGGAAGTCTGGGGGAGAGGCTCAGAAAGGGAGTAGAAGTGGACTTGAGAAGTCAAGACTGTTGCTTTGTGGTGGGATAACTTGGTGGATTTGGTTTACCTGATTGGGATCATTAAGGTGGCAGGAGACTGAGTACCCGACAGGTGGTTAGAACCGGGGGAGATTTTTAAGAACCATTTTAGACCCATAGCTCCCAGCCACTAGAGGTGTTTAGATGCCACTTGGTTGGTGACATGGGGTGGTTGTGGAAATGACCTCTGAGGCCCCTTACAGCTTTAAGTTTCTTTGATTACAGTTGGCTGTGATTCAGTGAGATACATTTCAAAGTGCCCTGGAAAAAGGAAATACAGTATTGAAGTTATTACATATAGTTTGTTAGTTATGAGTTCTCCTTTGAGAGAGGCTAATTTCAGTTACATATATCAGGGTTCATTGAGGTAAAGAGCTAAAGAATTAGCAGAGGAGAAAAGAAAATGTAAGAAAAGAACTTCCAAGTTTTGATGTAAGACATTTTTGATTTTTGCTTCTTACCTTTTCTTTCATTATGTTTCAAGAACTTAAGAGCTTCTAGTTGTATAATATGCTTATTATGAGTGTATTATATAGACTTAGAGTGTCATGCCTGGAGGTCAGCTTTATGTGTAACCACTAGCATCCATCCCCGAAACTTCTGTTATTTTTTACTGAGAAAGAATATAATCTGTGGTCTGGAAATTCTATATGGACTGTTTCTGTCTTTTGTGTGTTTGAGGAGATAACTCTGAGAAGTAGGAACAGCCAGTTAACCCTTCAAGCGCCCTCACCCTAAACAAAGAAAAAAACGGGTCTGGTCTGGCAGACCTTAGTTTATGTAATACTAGAGTCTACCCAGCTGTTTCTTAGCAGCCTTAGCTAGTAAAGAAAAAGGTGAAAGCCATTCTTATAATTTGTAATGATGGAGGTCTACTGTGTGTTATACACTGGCAATTCAAAGGTAAGACAGAATCTTTAACAACTTAGTGTAAGGAAGAGATATGTAAATAGCTTTGTAGTGCTAGATAATTGTTATAATGGAAATGTGTGAAAAATTCAGTGGGGCAAGCACTTGAGTCTGCTAGGGAGAGTCAGTGAAATCTTTGTGATAGAGATGGATTTTGAGCTGAAAAAATAAAGGTTGGGTTTACAAAGAAGTAGTGACTTGCATGTGGCGTCAGAGTTGTCTCCCTGTAGCCCTTTCTGTTTTGTAGAGAGACTCCTGTGGGGCCCAGATAACCGTAATGGATAGCCTAACTAAGCTGCAGTTGGTGCTCTTTGCCGCTTCTTTGGAAAGATTGCACATGCTGTGGTTTTGTTCTTCAGGATATTGTACCTGTGTTTTCCAATATCACATATCTTTAGTATGATAAGTGATCTGGAATAGCAGTCATCAGTTCATTTCTTTCCTCTTTTATCTTTTCATTATATGTTTCTCTAGTAATTGAGGTAATTTAGGCTGTGCTAAGTGCTTCTCTTGTGTTGCAGAAGTGTATGGAAAAGAGGGTTTAGGAAATGATCTACTGGTGGAAAAGGTTACTGTTTATTGAGTCCTTACCATAAACCAGCCTGTGTTTAAAGTCCTTTACTTGCATTATCTCATTCATTACTAAGAGCAGCCCTGTGAGTTAGGTGGTATTAATTTCATTTTATACAGGAGGAGAGTAAGGCTAAAGAGATTGGAGTAACTTTTGTAGGATTCCACAGATGTGAGCTGGGATGTGTAGATTCAAACTCAGGTCTGCCTGTGCTATCCTGAGCTTATCCCGTACTGTAAGGAGAACCTTGGTTCCATTTCTCTGTTTTTTTATGCTCTGGGGACCGGTAATTTAAAACTGTATGGTCTTAGGATCTCATGTAAAAATTGATACAGTATATTTCGTAAGTGACTGTGATTCCAAAGAGTATTTTGAGTCTCACAGTTGTGACAGTAATTTTATTAGTATTCCCTATTTATGATCAAGAAAGTTGAGGTTCAGAGTATTATGAGAATGCTAAGGATCTTGCAACTACTATGTGGTATCACTAAGATTTAAACCCAATTTTTTTCCCAGATTCCAAAGTATTTGTTTCCCCTTAGTTTAAAGACCTAAACTATAGGGCGCCTGGGTGGTTCAGTTGGTTGGGCGACTGCCTTCAGCTCAGGTCATGATCCCGGAGTCCCGGGATCGAGTCCCACATCAGACTCCCTGCTCGGTGGGGAGTCTGCTTCTCCCTCTGACCCTCCCCCTTCTTGTGCTTTCTCTCTCATTCTCTCTAATAAATAAATAAATAAAATCTTAAAAAAAAAAAAAGACCTAAACTGCAAACTCATCTAAACAAGTAAACTGCCCCTTTCTTTATGTCCAGAATTTTCATCTCCAAAACATGAAGTAGCCTTTCATTCCTGAGAGGTGTAAAGTAAGGGTTAACCAAAGGAATATTAGTTTTTCTACACAGGTTCTTTAATTTACTAATAATTTGACTCTGCTGGACTCATCCCACCCGACCCTCACCCCCATGGGAGAAGTGATTAGCTTAGTGGTATTTAGGGAGATGAGAATGGGTCTAGCCAGCTCAGGCTATATATTAAATAGGCTGTGATAACTGGTTAGACTCAGTTGTTGCTCTCAACTTGCCAAACCACATGGTGCTGGGGATATTAGTGGGATGAATCATGGTTATGAGATAGGTGGCTCAGAAGCAGACCCACTCCTGGAGCCATGAATTCCTCCTGGCAGGTGTAAATGGCCAACTTCAGAGAGGAACTGGAGGCATCATTTTGGCACCGAGAGCTGGCTTGGGATGTAAGGTAGAAAAAACATGTCAACATCCAGTCAGGGCCAGCCGGTCTGCCTGGCCAGTGCCTAGGAATTCTGGATTCGTCTACTCCCAGTGCTTGTTCATCTGCCAGAATGATGTGATACACAGATCAGTGAGTAGTTTCCGGCTCAAGTTCAAAGCAAGTATCCCAGTCTATAACTAACTTGAAGTATTGCTGCCTCAGATGTATAATTTACCTCATCTGAGCCCTATTTTGTTCTTGTTAGAAGAGGAGATTGAACTAGATTGGTGGTTTTTAAACCTTTATTTACCACAATACCTTTTATTCAAGCAAAATCTCACTTTGAAACCTTGGGGTCTGTAAGGGGACTCAGAACCCCTCAAGGTGTCTCAAGACACACTTTGATAATCAGGGAGTTCTCTTTTACTGCCCACTGATTGGATGACCCTACTCTTTGTTCCTTCAGTCCCACCCCCACCCCCCATATTTCCTCTAGCCCATGCCTATCAAAGATTATTTTGTCTGTCTTCCCCACCAGATTCTTAGCTACAAGAGAGAGCAGAGTCCAAACCTGTCTTGCTCATTGTTGTAGTTCCTTCCCTCAGCATGCTGTGTGGCATACAACAGGCTCCTACTAAGTGTTGGGTAATTATTATTTTTGAGTAATAGTAATAATAGCTACCAGTTAGTTAAAGTTTGTGATGTGCCAGCTCCTCTGCTTAGTAGTACGTGTTTTTTTTTTGTTTGTTTTTGACTGAATGTTTACAACATCCCTATGAAAATTGAACTATTGGACTAAGTCATGGTTAAAACTCTTTCTGGTTCTAACATACTGTGCACCATTTTCTGGTTATTGCCAGGTCTTTTTTGGTGCTGTCCTACCTGCCTAGAATGCCTATCCTTTCCCTCTGTTGTGTTTCTAAATCTGCCTGTACTTAAGGTTCTAGCCCAAGGCTGTCCTGACTTCCAGAACTAATCTGATCTACACTGATTTCTTCTTTCCCTGCCTTTGATGGTTTTCTCTGTGTTCATTTATAAACTCATCAACCTTTTTTGA